AGCATTTACTGGGGTGATTGGAACACTAGTGGAGGGAGTCTGACTGTCTTCTAGAGAGATACTGGGGTGGGGATGGGGGGCCAGATTGAGCCACACAACAGCATCTGGAGAAGGGCCTCATTTTTCCACAACTTGCTTTGGGAGAAGCAGGGCAACACATGAATTACTGTTGCAGAGAGGAAGCCCTGTTTTAACCTCTTACTTATTAGCTTTGCAACTTTGCTTAAGTCATATAACTTCTCTGATTGTGACAAGTCTCTCATAGGCCAAATGAAAATACTAATCTATGAGGGCTGCACCTCACAGGTTATTAGAAGAATAAATAAATTGTCAAGGCAAAAGTGGCATGTGCCCTGAATAAAGAGCAAGTGAAAGTAATGATGTCATAGAGAAAACCAGATAGGTACCTGTTGTATACCTGTGAGAAGTGTGATGGGAGTTATAGAAGTTGTTCAAGATCTGGTATCTGTGTTCAAGATCTTCCACTGTGTGGAAGGAACAGTGCTGAACAATATAAACAAGTCGTAAGCAAGTAGCCATTTCATACTTCATGTCTTGATAAGTTCACAGATTAGTTTTAAAATCAGTTTTAGGAACTGTGACCAGCATTTAAAAGAAAATAAATAAATCCAGGTATGGTAGCACAGACTTATAGCACAGACTTATATATATGCTGCCCCAGCATTTACTCTAGAGGTTGAGGCAGGCATGCACCACCATGTCTGACTTGAGTTTTTAATGGTATATGGGACTTTACAGGGATATTGTGACTTAGAGAGGTGAGAAAAAAAGGTGTTCTAAGGGTAGGGAAGGTGGAGGACATGTGTGTACCTGGAAAATGAGAGTGGTCAGAGAATTGCACAGCCTCAGCAAGGAGATATTGAAAAAAAGCCAAGTATAGTGGTACTTGGCTGTAGTTCCAGCACTCAGGAGACTGAGGCAGGAGGACTGCTGCAGGTTGAACACCAGTCTGGGCTCCATAAACAAATTCAAGGTCAACCTGTACTACATAGCAAGACTCTGTCTTAAAAAATAAAACAAGCAAAAAAACACAAACAAAAAAAAAGAAATTACAGGTGGAAGATAACCAGGAAATTTTGGCATAACACGGGGAAGGAAGTTTTAGTCCTAGGAACTGTTAAATAGGATGACTTCCCTGGAGGTAATGAGGCCCCATCCTTGGCAGAGTTCCAGTATAGGTGGTTATCTAAGGCTACTGACTGTTATCAGTGAACTCGGGCCACTTTCAGGAAAGAGTGGTTTTCTGGAGGGTAAAAGAGGTCCTGACGTGAGGCGCTCCCCATGTGCCATTTGGTCTCTTATAATAGGTTCATTTTCTCTCCCTAGTATCTTGCTTATGCCCTTTCTTTACTACCAGGAGGAAGCCACCTCAGTGTTTTTACACACTTAAGTGTATTTGTACAGACCACACCCCATTCCTGATCTTAGCAGCTCCTCTTTGGGTATTCTTTGAGGATCAGTTCACAATGCAGCCTGTCTAAACATATAGGGAAAGTGAGGTTCGGCTGAGAAAGGAATTTAACTGCTATAGAAGCCATTCCTGTATCAGATAATAGTAGAACCAGATGCCTTTGGAATTCTAATAACTCTGTTGAAGAATATGTAAACCTTCTGATTAAAAAAAATATATATATATAGTGTCCAAGTTTTCAGGAGTCCATGCCACATAGAAAAGAGACATCTACGTGTAGTTAGGGTATGTGCTGAGTGCTAGAAATGGTGAGATGGTCTTCTTACCATCCTAAGATGATTAAACTCCTTTGGCAAATGGGCGTGGCAGCACATACCTATAATCCAGCTGCAGAAGGAGAATTACAAGTTCCAGCCTAACTTGGGCTACTTAGTGAGACCTTGTTTCAAAATAAAAGTTTAGGGGCTGGGGATTTAGCTCAGCGGCATAAGCGCCTGCCTTGCAAGCAGGCAGTCGTGAGTTCAATCCCTGGTACCGATAAAAATGAAAAAGACAAAAAAAATAAAATAAAATAAAAAAAACAAAAGTTTAGGAGGCTGGGGATTTAGCTCAGCAGCATAAAGCGCCTGCCTTGCAAGCAGGCAGTTGTGAGTTCGAACCCCAGTACCGATAAAAACGAAAAAGACAAAAAAAAAAAAAAAAAAAAAAAAAAAAAAAAAAAAAGTTTAAAAAGTAGAGTATAGTCTGGCATGTGTGAAGTCCTGGGTTAAATCCCCAGTACTGGAAAACAAAACAAAACTGTCTGCTGTTGAAAGAGAAACCATTTTTTTTTTTTTTTTTGAAAGAGAAACCATTTAAATGATCACATTTCCACAAAAATTTCCCAGTTTAAGGTTTTTAAACTCAAAATATCTTTTGACTGACATGTACACTTAAAGAAATGGTATTTTGTCTGTTCTAGAGAAGGTCTTGTGAAAGCAGTGGTATAGTTTAAAATCTGTAGTGTCTTAGAATTCAGGAAATACAGTCATTTGTTTTGTACCCAGCTGCAATTCCGGTTTGAGGTTTGACATTGGGGCTTTGAAACTGCCAGTGCTGTTATCTGGCATCAGTTAAAATAGAACTCATCATGTTCCTGTGTGTATCTGCAGTTAGGAGAGTACCTGTCTTGCCCTGCAGTTAGGTTTTACCAACAGAGCCAGACCCTGGGTTGAGTTGTCAACTGGGCATGTATTTAATCACAAGGAGAGAGGATTCTATAGAAACCGGCAGATTTAGGTAAAAGCCTTGCTCCCTTTGAGCCTCAGTTTCCTCATCTGTACAGTGAGGGGGTACTAGATCTAATGTTATCACAACCTTAATTGCCAGAACTTCCTGTTGATTCAATACGGGCAGCTGCTCATTTAGTTAACTAAAGATCCCCTAACTTAGTGCATAAGCTAAGGAACACTGTGGGTGGTAAAAGTCACTATGGCCTGGGGCCTGGGGGCCTTTGGTTTCTGCTCCATAAGGGTTTTGGGGCTTCCTGCAGATGTATGTTCCCTTGTAAAGTAATAGACCTCAAGGCTTGGACTTTGTTTTTCTTTTATCAAGGAGAGAAAAGAAGAGAATTTCTTGTACCTTACTTCTATCTCTAGGCAGAGAGGGATAGCAGTTTGAAGGATGGTGACTTGTGTTAATGTGTTGAGGAGTCTTATTTCTTCTTTCTCAACTATACCTCTCCAAGGCTTCTCTAAAGCCTGCCTAGCGCCCCAGATAAACTGCACTGAAGAAGAGGACCTGCCCTTTGTGTCTTGGAGGCCTCAGCCCTGCCAGGGCCCCTCCCTCTGTTCTTCTAGCCAGTAAAAGTCACTGCAGCATATTTCCTTCCGGCAGAGGGAGAATGAGAGACTCAAAGCCTGGGCCCGGCCCCAACTGCACCATGTCCTGTTCTGCTCTCGGGAGCTGCTTTGAGCACTTTCCACCCTGTGCCTCTTTCTGGAAAGTGAAGCAGGATTGAGTGTCAGCTCTGGGCTAGGTTCAGCTTGGAACTGAGTTCTTTTTCCCAGTGATTTGCTGTTTAACCTTGAGGTACTCTTTCTTGTTATCTTGTTTCTCTGAGCCTCTGTTTCCTCATGTCATGAATATTTTTATTTTATTTATTTACTGTGGTTTCTTAAGACAGGGTCTCACTATGCAGTTCAGGCTGGCCTTCAGCTCACTTTGTAGTCCAGGCTGGTTTTGAACTCATAACGATCCTCCTGCCTCAGCCTCCTGAGTGCTGGGACTACAGGCATGAGCCACCACCATTTAATTTTATAATACCATCAATAACTTTTCTTTTTTCCTTTTCTCTTTTGTTTTGAGATAGGGTCTTGCTATGTAGTTCAGGCTGGACTTGAACTCACTAAGTAGCCCAACCTGGCCTCAAACTCATGGCATTCCTCCTTCCTGAGCTTCCCAAGTACTAGGCTTATAGGTGTGTGCCACTGCACCCAGTTTGAGTACTTTCTTAATTGAAAAATTTTCAACAAAAAGCACAATAAAGAAATGTAAAATATCTGTAATCCACTACTTCAGATAATTTTGAGAAAACCATGTATATGTATGTGTAGGAGAGATGCATACAGATACTTTTTGTTCTTGTTTGTTTTACAAATCTTGGTCTATAGGCTTAAATAAGAAAGCCTATGTAAAATGCACAGGTTAGTCGTCTTCTGTCTGCACCTCAGAGTTCTATGAACTCATGAATTCCGAGATTCACTCCTTGGAAAAAACCACTCAGTTGATGCACCCTCTGGCCAAGCCAGGGATCCCCACCTCAATCCACCTGTGTCTGCATTGGATTCATCTGCCTACCTGGGGCTGGTCTTAGTGCCCACTAGATGCCACCTCCACAGGCTTAGGAGTTTGTTCTAGTCTCAGCAATACATCCTTGTAGTACACCCTTGGCCTTTGCCAAGATCAGTGCTGTCACAGTTGTGGTAGCTGCACAGTCAGTAGGTATTGTACAAATACAAGCAGTAGTGTGTTATAATGCTAATAACAGTTAACTCAGGATGGGGCTTTGAAGTGTTAAGATTTTAATAGGGATGACTTGGCATGGATTCTGGCCAATGGACTGGTGTGGGTAAAGAATGAGAGATGGGAAATGGCCAGGGTATAATTGGGGAAACTCTGAGTAACTAGTTTGGCTCATACGAAGAGGTATGTTATTTCTGTACTTGTTTGACTAGTTTTCATGTGCAGCTGTGCTCTTAGCACACGGGCCCTCTTAAGAGGCTTATTTACCAAGGTAGGCCCAAGAAAGGAATGCTTGGTTTGGTGCACAGATGTACACCCAGAGAGGCACAGTTCTTTGATACATAAGGGAAGTGGACATTTGAACCCGTTGCCTTTCTGGCCTGTGGCTTCCAGGGAGGGGGCTTGTTCTTTCTCATCTGCCCAGGGTGATTATGAGTTAGCAATCCTGAAGGGAAATGCAGAGACAGGCAGGGGGATGCGGGTCTGGCTAGGCTTGTGCTGGAGCCAAAGCCAGGGCCTTTGCTTTTCTTGGCATGTCTGACAGGCACTGCCTTCTGCTCTACAGGTTGGAGGAAGTCCCCCTGGAGGTGCTGAGGCAGAGAGAGTCCAAGTGGCTGGACATGCTCAACAACTGGGACAAATGGATGGCCAAGAAACACAAAAAGGTGAGGGGCCTAGCCTTAGGCCTTGGCAGCCTGGGGAGGAGAAGAAGTTGTTGATGGTGGGGGATTGCATCAGTTTAGAAAAGCAGAGGCTTCTTCAATTGCTATGTTGCCTTAAGTGTCCTCTATGGGCCAAAGATGGGGGTAGGGGCAGAAGCTGGCTGGAGAGCAGGGGAGAAGGTTGGGACTTGGCATGTGACTTCAGAGTCACACAGAACTTTGTCCCAGAGTTAAACTTCAAAGCTTCTTGTACTCAGTGACCCTAGTAGGCAGCTTTGCTCTAGCCCTGCAGGGAAAAGGCCCAAAATGCTAACCACCCTCAGGAAGGATCATGTAGTACTAATAACAGGTACCTTAGGAGTGTTTAGAGGATGCTTGTCTTGACCACAGTAATCCTTACCACACGCCTACTAGGTTAGTAGTGGTGGCAGACTTTACAGAAGACCTGCAGAATCAAGGACTGAACTTTAGCATCTGCCCTCTTTTTTTTTTTTTTTTTGGCACTGAGAATTGAACTTAGGACTTTGAGCTTGCCAGGCTATATCCCTGACCCTACCATCTGCCCTCTTAACTGGCACAACAGGGGGTCTCTTCACCTTCTAAATTAATTTGATGATCTCTTTCCTGTCTCCCGGCTAAAGCGAAAAGAAAGAAAATAACCTCACAGTTTATAAATAGTCTTATAAAAATTTAAACACCCAGCACCCTCTTTTTAGGCTGAGTTGGACACTAGCTCTGTCACCCTGTGGGAAGGCACTTGTCCAGCACTCTGAGGCCTGTGTGTTGGTGGTGTTGGGCAACCCTGGCAGGGCCTAGTTATGTCCTGCTGCCCTAGGATGCTGACAGTTGCAGTCCCTCTGCACAAGTGTCTAGCCCGTAGAGTCACCTCTGTTGTCCTATCATCAGGTAACACTGGTCTAGTCTCACCCAACTGGTAGTGGGATCTAGCAGAAAATCAGGGATGCACTTGGGCCCATGCTCATGTCAAACTGTATAATTTTGGCCAGGTCACTTTATCTGATCAGCTCTAGTTTCCCTGGTCAAATGGGATGATAATCCTTTTGAGAGCTGCCCCCTTGGTGGCGACTATAAGTGCTTTATGTAAAGTCCTGTGCTATGGGGGCGAGGCTCACCTAAGCCTGAGTTCTTCCTTGCTGTTTTATGTGGGCTTTGGGGCACTCATTTTTTACTTATTAGAAAATGTCTCTTTTTCTCTTTATTTAACATATTTTTAAGGTAGTTACTCATCAACTATTTTCTGCCTGACTTTAGGGTATGTTTTCTTGCCTTACCCTTCTTCGGGCTTTTCCCTGAGGTGTAACTTGTCTGTGGTGACTGGTGGCTGTCAAGGACTGTGGCATTGGCTTTTTTGTTCCAGCCTCCCTGGCAAACAGAAACTCCAGAGGGAGCTGTGGGGAGCTTCTCTGAGTATTGAGCAGCACTGCTCCCCTTTGCTTCTTGGGCACTGTCGTTAGAGTCCAAGGGCTGCTCAGCTGAGGCCTCCACTGCATGTGCAACCCAGCCTGCCCACAGGCTCTGACCCTTTGCTTCTCCAGAACAAGACCACTACAGGGCACTCTTCCTGTGCCTCACCTGTGGCCACAGCTGGCTGTGCCCCAAGGGCTCTTCTCGCCTGGCTGTGAAGGCTTGGAGATAGGAAGGATAATACTTGTTTTGGGAAGTAGTCTCAGACCCAGCACTTCTCCTGCACTCATCTATAGTCCTCCTGTGAGTATGCCTTCCTCCAAGCTAGATCCAGGACAGAAGTCTGGGCCTGAGGGAGGGTGTGCTATGGCTAGAATGCTATCTTCCCCTGTAGAGTCCTACCTTCCCAGAGTTCAAAAGGCTAGGATATGACCTCACTGAGCTGTCATCAGTGACTTCTTGTTCCAAGGTATTGCCTCAAAGACTGGTAATTACTTCTTTTTTTTTGGTACCAGGGATCAAACTCACAGCCTCACACTTGCCAGGCAGGTGCTTACCCTGCTGAGCTAAGCTCCCAGCTGGTGATCACTTCTGAGGAGAATTCAGAGACCTGATGGGAAAAGGCTGGCTCTATTGACTCTCCATCCCTAGTTCCCAGCCCGGGGCCTGAGGGAAGACAGAGCCAGGAAGACAGAGCCTCCTGGGGAACCTCAGTGGACTGAAAGTGCCCCAGGGCCTCCTGTGGCAGACCCTGTGTCACAGGGGTTTGTGATGATGGGGCTGCCCCATGCTGAGAGTGGTCAGTGTGTATGTGGGGTGCTTAATGGACATGAAACTTTGGGCTATACTGTATCCCGTTGCTAAAGCCTGCTCAGAGTGGCTTCCTTACGGTGACCGTTGTCCCACAGCAGGATGAAACTGTCCTCAGAGTCTAGGGCAGTTCCCTTCTGCTCCCTTCCTTTTGCCCATTTCCAGGCGGTCCCAGCTCTAGCTTGCCTCTTGTGAGTAGTCTGGCTGCTCTTCCCACTGCCTGTGGCCTGCCTGCCTGTCTCCTTCCTGCTTCTTGACTCTCTGACCCTTGGAAAATTTTCTCTTGTTTGTGCTCATCATCAGGAAGGCCAGGACTTTCATGACTCTTTGGAGATCTTCCAGCGGGACTGTTTGAGGGGCTTTCCAGGTGAGGGGAGGTTAGGCAGTAGCTGAGGCCCTGGGGGTTCTGTGGCAAGCATCTTTCTAGGATGGAAGGTGGAGAGGAAACTGTCACTTACTGAACATAGCCTGTGTCACTTCTAAAGGAGTCCTTTTAGTAGCTCTGTAGAGTACTGTAGTAGGTAACATCATTCTGATCTTTAAATTGATGGGCAGTGATTGACCTCAGGTTAGCTCAGGGTTCAAACTCATCAGTTGTTCTTCTCATGCCCTGGGTGCCCATCTTCTCCATCCCAGGCTAGCCTGCTTACATCAGGGGCTGAGGGAGTCTCATTGCCCACCAACCCCCTCTGCTAACATTCTGTAGACTCAGTGCCTCTACCTCCGCCTTCCTTGATGGGTCAGGGCAACTGCTTTCAGAGGCTTATTCTGCACTCAAGCCTTGGGGAAGCCAACCTCTTTGTCCATCTGTGAGAGGCCAGAGGAAGGCCAGTGAAGGAGAAAATGTACAAGGCTGGGTCCCTGTAGCCTGTGTGGTACAGGTGAGGAGGTAGCAGGGTCTCTGAATATGGAATCATAATTTTACTTGATATAGAAAACAATTTTCAATTTTTCCTTTTTTTAATCTTTATTTAAAAAAAAAAATGTTTAGGTACTGGGGATTGAGCCAGGACCTTCACACCAAACTACATGTCTAGCCCTTTTTTATATTGTGAGACAGGGTCTCATTAAGCCACTAAGTTACCTAGTCTGGGCCTGAACTTGCCATCTTCAGGCCTCAGTTTTCCAAGTGCTGGGATTACAAGCATGTGCCGCCATGTCTGGCTGACAGTGTAATGACTATTTATACAGTATTTGCATTGTATTTGGTATTATAACTAACCTACAGATAGTTTAAAGTCGTAGTGGTAAGCTTCTGGCACACATGCAACAGTGGGCTGTTTGTATCATTGAAAGCTCTAAAAGGTTCACCGTTACTGGTTTAAAGATAGTGTATAGGTTATATGCAAATACCAATCCTTCTTTATAAAATAGACTTGAGTGTTAGCAGACTTTGATGTCTGTTGGGGATTGTGGAACCAATCTTTGTGGATGCTGAGAGATGATTGCAGTTATGGGGATCCAGAATTCTGTGGCATAATTCAGGAATATCTGAGTTGTCATTGGACCAGGGGATGTGTACTCTGCCATCACCTGGTGGTAACATGTCTAATTGCAGGACCCTGTCCTCATCACAGGATCTGCATTACACAAACTGTAGTAAAGTCCTCTTTTTTCCCCCTTCTGCTTTTGCCAATATGCTCACTGGAGGCCTTCCAAGCCCTGGCAGAGGGGCTGGTCTCAAGGACCTGCCAAGGGGATGGGGTGGAGATGGAAAGGTACACCTCTTCTTTTGACTTTCAGATACGTTTGCGGTGCCAGAAGGGAATCCCGCCTTCTCTTCGAGGCCGTGCTTGGCAGTACCTGTCAGGAGGCAAGGTGAAGCTACAGCAGAACCCCGGGAAGTTTGATGTGAGTGAGTTTTCTTTCTTCACCTCACCTTCCTTCCGTATCTCTGTGATGGGTGTCTTCCCATGGCAGTTATCCTTTATGCTCTTACCTGGACTTCAGCAAGATGAGGGAGCCTCCATTCAAGCCATGACTGCTGATAGCATTGTTTATACAAAGCTTTATCCCTGAGCAGACCTCAATGAGATGGACAGATTTTCTACCCCCTATGCCAACCAGCTTTTACAAACATTCAGGTTTGCTTTCTTGGGTTCAGTGTACTGTCTTCTAGCTCTAAGTTGTCAGGAAGGGACACTTAGACCTTTTTGGCCTGTGCTCTGAGTCTTTGGGGACTTACCAGCAGAACCACAGGACTGTCTACACTGCCTGGCCTCTTGTCTTCAGGTCTTTTTCCTGACTTCAAGCCTGCCAGATACACCTTACTTGTATTGCTTGAGGGATCGTCAACCCTGGAGTGGCAGAGTCAAACCCTCCTCAGGGTTCACAGGCCAGTCAGTAGCCAGAGAGGCTGCCCTCTGCAGTCACGGCCTGCTTTTCCCCCTTTTCTCTGCTGCTGTCCTAGGCCCATGGCTAGCCAGTGTGGTACCCTCTTCTACTCATTGAGTTAGGCAACTCTTTCAGCCTACTTCCCTTGGAGAACTATAGGGAGGTGACTGGATTCCCCAGGCTTGCCTGACTTACCTGCCAGATGTGGCCCCAGGCATCAGAGTTTCTTCCAGGTTCGTGGGACTCATGATAGGCAATGAGACAGCATTGCCAGCCACCAGCTTTGTTGATATCCCTCATACTTCAGTGAACATTCTTGTCTGAGCAGAGCTGTTCTCAAAGAAGGGTGGGCAGGAGCAGAGTAGCGCATCCTAGAGTTCCTGCACTTGACGTGGTGGAAGTGTGGGCTCTTTGCTGGGGAAAAAGGGGGTCTGGTAGTGTGGTCACTGAGGGCAACACTGAATCAGAATGATTGGATTATCCCACAGAGCACTCATAGCAGATCCCACAAGAGCAGCCTTTCAACTTCAGTATTTGTCTCAGCTACATTTCCTCTATTGCAAGGGGCAAATCCTTGCCAGAGTGGGAGGCTTGGGGATTGGAGCCCCACCCCAAGTCTGTAGCTTATGTCAGGCTGCTAGAACCTAGGCAGGAGAGCCAAGAACATGGGTGACCTGGCCAGTCTCCTAGTTACACAGATCCACACATTTCCACAGTGTGGGTCACACATGGAGCGCTCTGCATGTGTGTGTGGAGTGGCATGTCCAAAGAGGAACTGGTCACTCCCATGATGCCTGGAAGGTTGCTGTGTAAGGAGATAGATTTGCCTAGAAGGCCTTCTCCATGCCCTGAAGCTGAGTGGTGGGTGCCTGCAGCAGTCCTGGGGCCTGAGGGATGGTTTACCAGCACACCTGGAAGGATTGCTTGAAGGAAACCTAGAAGCAGCAGACAGGGATGGGATACCGCCCAGCGGGGTACTGTGAAAGGGCAGTGGTGTTAGTTTGGACTTGTTTCTATGCTGCAGGGCCCTCTTGTCAACTTTTTGGCCCAGGCAACTGACCCTACCTTGGCATCCGGGCAGTTTCTACAGGCCTTAGTGACTGTTTTCCTCCTGCATTTGCTCTTCTTCCTTCCTTTGGCATACAGGACCTGGTACCTGATTTTCCTTTCTGGCTCCAGCTCATGGTAGCAGCACTGCTCAGGCTCACAGACATGGTGATTGCAGCCTCAGTCTGAGAGAAGTACACTTGCCTTTGGTTCCTGGCACCTTTCCTCCTTTAGGCCCTGTAGCTACCCCTTTTCTTTTCTCATTTGCCCATTTGTGTCCAGATGCTTTGGGTTATTGACATATCAGATAAATTCCAGGAACTGACTTCATAGGGGCTTCTCAGGTCCTGTTCTTTGTAATCACCAGAGGAATTTTGGAGGCCCTCTTTCCCTTCTGAAGCATCCCTGCACTGTGCTCAGATAGTACCTGGAAATGCACAGGACACATATACAGGCTCCATCTTGAGGGCTGCAGAGGGTAACATCTATTCCCTCACTATGAAACCCCAGTCCTTGCTCCATTCTCCAGTTCTGAACACTCCTTTTACAGAACTTACTCTCTAGTTGAGTTCCAGGTATCCTAGATCCCTTAGTTCAGTGCTGTGACACCCTACTGAGGCACGTGACAAGGAAAGGGGTTTATATGAGGTCACTTGGCAGCCAGGGCTGGTGCCTGGTCTGTGCTTACTTCATGGGTTTGTTGAGGCCTGTTCCCCAGCACCCTCTCTGGTGTCACTCTTGCCCTTCAGGCAACTTGTATGTGCTCAGTCTTTCTGCTCAACCCTCTATGTTCCCTCACATTTAGTTTTATTTCTTTTCTAAAAATTCAGACATGAATTTAGAGTAAAATATGTAGATTTTGAGTGTAGAGTTGAGTTTAGTGAGCTTTGACAAATAATAGATAACCATGTGACGACATGCAAATCAAGATACAGAACATTTCAAATGAGACAGGATTTTTCTTTTCTGTTTTGTTTTTTGATACAAGGTCTTGCTATGTAATTCAGGCTGGTCTTAAACTCACTATATAGCCAGGATGGCCTCAAACTTGTAATCTTCCTGCCTCAGCTACCCCAGTGCTCAGCTTCCCAGGTGTGCATTCCCTGCCCAGCTCAAAAGGATTTTTCTTATAGTTTTGTTTTTATAAAGGTACATATGCTTAAAATGTTCATGGACATTCAAAGAAGAGAGTAAAACTCTGTAGAAACACCAGGACCCAGAGAAGCCACTGAAGCTAATGGTTTATTTCCTTATGCGCAGATTACACACACACATGCCCCTTCCTCAAAGGTGATGCACCAGCATGGGGAGTTGAGCAGCTGAGCAGCTGGGGTTGGCAGCTCTGTATTTATACATACTTCTAGTCCCAGTTCCACCTTTTTTTCTAGCCACAGGGCTTTAGGCAAGTGACTTTCATTTGACTGTCAGTTTCCTCATCTGTGAACAGGGTGCAGTGATAGGACCTGTCTTTGGGGTTGAAGAATCAGTGAGGCCTACAGGTACTCAGCTCAGTACCTAGCCCTGAGCTGCAGAAACAGGTGGGAGCTATTGCTTGAATAATTAGCTCTCTATTTTAAGGACCAACATCATCTTCAGATACACCAAGTCCCCACTAAAGGGCCTAAAACAGTGATGGTGATCCTTAAGCTTTTGATAACGGTTTAAAAAAAAGCACCCCCCACCCCCAAACAGCTGGTTGTGGCATACGTTCATCACCACTGGCCTAAAAATTATCCAGCCACACCCAGGATGGATATTCTTGGCCACTCAGGCCTTTCTGGATCTAGAATCACCTCACAGGCTTTCCAAGGCCCTGTTCCCTTTGCTCCTTTGCCCTGTCCAAGCTTCCTCACTTGTTCCTCTGGTCCCATGATGGCACTGGGTAAACACTGCTCATGGTAGAGGGCTTCTCTGATACCTGGGGCAGCCACATCCTGCCAGGAGTGCTGCCCTGATATGTGCCTTTGCTCTTGTTTCAGGAACTGGACATGTCTCCTGGGGACCCGAAGTGGCTGGATGTGATTGAACGTGACCTACACCGGCAGTTCCCTTTCCACGAGATGTTTGTGTCCCGGGGCGGGCATGGGTGAGCAGGCTGGACCTGTGGGGTGGAAGGTAGATATAAGCCTTGTGCCTCAGTGAAGAGAGCAGATACACTGAATTTAGGGTATCTCAGGAGCCCAGAAACATCTGGGTGCCCCAAACTCCACTCTTAACATTTCTCTTCTTTGGTTTGCTTCTGATCATCTTATTAGCATCTCCTTTGATCAGCTTTTACTCCCCAGATTGCTAGAGCTGGCCTGGCATAGCCTTCCTTGGAAACAGGTTTCCATCACGGAGAAAGACACCTAGAGGAGGTTGGGTGAGCAGAGGCTATGCAGGAAGGAAAAGATGAGGTGGGCATTGGGACCAAAACAGATGCCTGGGACAAAGTTGCTCAGCAAGGAGCCCCTGCCTCCAGCTCCCAGCCTCTTCTTGCCCTGTATCTGTCTGCTGTCCTGCCCTGGTCCTGCCCCTTAAATCACCTTTAGCAGGGAAACCCCTCCCTACTGCCTTCTGATCATGTGAGTCTGTGTGTTATAGTGGGAGACTGACCCCTGATGACTACAAGCAGGTCACCTTTCCCTACAGGAAAGTACAGATTCTGAGACAGGTTTGGTCTGATGGGGACAGGAGAGGTGGTAGATAAGAATGACACACCTGTCATCACTGCACTGCCTGGTCTTTCCACAGCCAGCAGGATCTATTCCGTGTGCTGAAGGCCTACACACTGTATCGACCGGAGGAGGGCTACTGCCAGGCCCAGGCACCCATTGCTGCCGTTCTGCTCATGCACATGCCTGCTGAGGTATCATGAGCCCTGGGAATGGGGGTGGGGGCCAACCCTGTGGCAGGGCTTCATGTCTCTCTCACCCACAGCAAGCCTTCTGGTGTCTGGTACAGATCTGTGAGAAGTACCTGCCTGGCTACTACAGTGAGAAACTGGTGAGTGCTCAGCTGGCATGGGACCTGCCCCAGGCTGGATGTCCTCTGTGGCTCTTCACTCTATAGTCCTCCAGGCCTGCCTGCGTCAAACCTCTTGGACACTGACATCATTGGTTTCACACTCACTTCCATCTCTGTTCCCAGCCATTCTGGCCACGTGGCAGGGTTGAAATTCCTTCTAGGCACCACGTTTCTTCTTGCCTCAGCCTTGGCTTAAACCTCTGTCTGAAGGTTTCCTTCTCCTTCCTCTGAAAACTTTTTCCTCCATGTTCAGCCCAGGGTAGCTTTCCTTGATTCCACTAGCTGGGAGTCTTCACAGCATGTGTTCACTGAGTGTTCTTGTACCTGCCATGCCTGGGGCACTCACCCCTTTACCTCTACCCAGTGCCCATGTGCAGGGCCCCTTTTCATTCTAAGCCCATCAGGGAGCCCAACTATGTCTAACTGGCTTATGGGTGTATCTCAGCACCGTGCAGGCAATACCTACCTGATGAATGAATAAATGTCTGTCTGGTTTTGGAGCCCTTGCAGGTGGTCATGGCCATGTGGACTCTATGTCTCCTTAGGAGGCGATCCAGCTGGATGGTGAGATTCTCTTCTCACTGCTGCAAAAGGTGTCACCTGTGGCCCACAAGCACCTCAGTCGGCAGAAGATCGATCCCCTACTGTACATGACAGAGTGGTTCATGTGTGCCTTTGCACGCACCCTGCCCTGGAGCTCTGTGCTGCGTGTCTGGGACATGTTTTTCTGTGAAGGTACCAGGCTGGACTGGGGAAATGCCAGAGAACTCCCCAATAGGTCTACTTGCACTCACCACCTGTCCCCCATGCAGGAGTCAAGATCATCTTCCGGGTGGGACTGGTGTTGCTGAAACACGCATTGGGTTCTCCTGAGAAGCTCAAGGCCTGCCAGGGCCAGTATGAGACCATTGAGCAACTGCGGAGCCTCAACCCCAAGATCATGCAGGAAGCATTTCTGGTCCAGGAGGTGCGGCCCACATCTGCCTCTTATCATGGTGGGGTGGGAGGCTAGGCAACCCCCTAATGGCAAAGGTGAGTCATCTGTGCCCGGCCCATTGCTTGGCAGCCCAGGACAGCAGATGAACCTCATCCTCCTGTATAGGTGAGGGCACAGAGAGGCCACGGTTACCTGAGGGCAGGGCAGAGAGAGGCCACATTTTACAGGTCTTCTTTATTCAAGCCTTTAGGAGCTTGAACCAGTAACTGTTCCTGGTCCTGCAGTCATTGCCTTGGCTTTGTTTTCTGTTGTGGATACCTGACTCTCCAACTGTAAGGGAGTAACACGTGTGTGGGTACCTTCTCTGGGAAGCCAGGCTAGGGCAGGGATGATGCCACGGTGCAGGTAGAAGCAGGTGGCCATCTGTGCACTTACTTCACCAACAGTTGCTGAGATCTGTGGCATTATGTCCACTTTAGACATGATGAAATGGAGGCTCCCAGAGGTAGGAACACATAGGGCTCCTACCCTTACTCAGTGGCCAGCAAGTGGTGGAACTGGAGTCTGAGTGGCTGCCCTGGGCATGGGGCATGCTGGCTAAGAGTGGATGTTACCTTTTTCAAACCCAATAAATAAGATGAGTGGACCTGCAAGTTGTGGGCAGTTTCTTCCTCTGAGGCAGTGGGTCTCGTGTTCAGCTCACCAGACACTGCTCTGGGACCTGTAGCCACAGCTTAGAAGCAGACCCCCATCATTCCTGAGGCCAGGGAAGGAGAAGCCCACGTTGAAGATGTGGAGAAGGGAGAAGGTCATTCTTCCTGGGACTTATCTCTCTTTAACTGACCCTACAGGTGGTGGAGTTGCCCATAACAGAGCGCCAGATTGAGCGTGAGCATCTCATTCAGCTTCGGCGCTGGCAGGAGACACGGGGTGAACTGCAGTGTCGCTCTCCTCCCCGGCTGCATGGTGCCAAGGCCATCCTAGATGCAGAGCCCAGCCTCCGGGGTGCCCTGCAACCTTCACCGTCCATCCGTCTGCCCCCAGATGTACCTCTCCCCAGCTCCAAGGCCAAGCCCAAACCACCCAAGCAGGCTCAAAAGGAGCAGAAGCGGACAAAAGCAAGTGGGCATCTGGACAAGCTCCCAGCCCCAGGTCAAGCCACAGCAGTGACTGCTGGAGGAGATGCATGTGCTCCACAGGATGTGACCCTGAAAAACCCAGCTTCCCAGGATCCAGCCCCCCAGGACTCAGCTCCTCAGGACTTAGCCCATCACTGCTCCCAAGAGAGCCTCACTTCCCAAGACAGTGAGGACACCTACTTGTAACCCCAAAAGTGTGGACCTCCAGGGTGGGGTCTCTACACACCTACCTGGTTTGAGGACTGACACTCCAGGGCCTGCTTACCTGAGGGCCCAACTGCTTGGCCACTAAGCTGGGACAGTCTGGCTGGCCAGGGAGAAATTCTGCCTGAGCCTCTTTATTTATTTTCTCTAAGAGTGGCGCTCAGGCTGGCCCAGCCAGCACAGGCAGAAGCTAGGACCAAGAGAGTGGGGCCTCACTCAGCCCCTTCTCCTGGGGATGCTTCCTAGGGATGGGGTGCTGGCATAAGGGGAGCATGTGGGGTGCTCTTTGTGTAACATAGAAACTTGGTTTTGTACAGAAATAAACAGACTTGTGTAGAGAGCTGGTGTGCAGCTAGAGTCAGGGAGGGCTGCTGCCCTGGAGCTCAGCGTCTACTCCACACCCTGTGGAGCTCCTGGGTCATGTGTGCCTCTGAGAATGCTTTTGGCAGAGGAGTTACTGAGTCCAAGGCCCGCCTCTGTGCTGGCTCTCGGTTTTCCTCACTCCATCCCTGCTGCTCCATGTCTACTTTCTGCCATGGATTTGGGGACACTTGGATTACAGCCCACTGTCCACGCCTTGCTCCCTACTCAGCACTAAGGGAGAAAGGGTTGCTGAGGAGCTGGCTTCAGCCCCCACCCCACCCCGGGTGCCAATTAGCTTTTAAGTATTCATTCTGGTTCAGGAGCTGGCACAAAGTTTTTTGCAAGGCTTCATGAATGTCCTCATATGCTTAGGGCAGACAATGGGTGAAGTGGGGGAGTGTGGGTCCTTGGTAAAATGCTGCCTTCCATTTACTGAACACTTACCATGAGCCATGCTGGGCTGGCTGTGTGATGTGTCTGACAGGTAAAACAGGAGCTGAGGGGGACCACCCCTACAAGCAGAGCCCCACTTTCACCCACAGTCCCTCACTCAGCTTCCTCTCCTGACCAGGTGACCAGACTGTTCCATTGAGGGGCCAGGCAGATGCTTGGTCACAACCTAATGACTAGGAAGAGGGAGGACAGGGTGTCCCTGGGAGAGGCCCCCCTTCTGCTGAGGAAGCAGCTTTTCCAGTCAAACAATAGCTGCTGTTCCTGGCAGGGGACCAAGATGGGCCTAGGCCACAGGGGGAGGGGGCGGGGGAGCAAGAGAAGCAAAGCCTCCCTGTGAGGTTTCAGGCATCCCCTGGGCCTAGAGCACTGTATTCCCCTACAGTAAGGACACTGAGGCCAAGAAAGCAAATGGTCAGAGGAGACTCAGGGCAGACCACCCACTTCCTGCGTCCTGCCCCTCACTCCTGTGGCTTCCCACCCCAGTCAGCACCTGCCATGGAGGAGAAGGACACAGCCTTTGAGAAACACTCCTTCCCCTAGTCCTCCAAAGGGCAGGCCAGGATATGGCGGCTGCACAGTGTTCCATGAGAATCCCAAGAGGTCAGGGATGAAGCTTAGCCAGGCCTCCATCTATCTGTGGTGGAGGCTCCAGAGCAGGCAGGCTCAGTCACGCCTGAGGACTCCCTGTCCTACTTGGTTCAGAGCCTTGGATCTGAGGCCTAAGGATACTTGAGGCTAATCAAGGCTCTTTGGAGCATGCTTGGTCCTGCCATGGAGTCAATTGCTGATGCCTGCTCGGTCTTGGAGTTTTCTTAAACCTGTGGGAGGCTGGATAAGATTTTGGTGTCTGCCAGCTAGGGGACTCCCAGGGCCTGAAACCACCTCAGATGTGTTCAGGCCAGTTGGATTCTGCTAACCACCACAGGCTTTGGGGCAGCCTCCAAGGAAAGTCTGGCCTGAGGTCCTGAGTACCAAGAAGGCTGACTGCATGGTCCTGTCCCTCAGAGCCTGTGCCTTGAGCATTCCTAGCCCAAGTACTTGTTGGGTTGGTTAGTATCGAGGGACCTCAAGCCAGAGGCCCAGGCCACCTTTAATGCCCTCTTACTGTGTTGCTCACAAAGAGGTGGCTAGGACTCACATTTCTGTGAGGTTAGGAGCCTTCTACTTTGGACTGTGAGAAAAACGGGGCCATCCACTAAGTGCCTTCTCACTAAGTGGAGAGTTGTATTATCAATACCAATCCTGGGCACCCCTTGCTTTGAGGATACCACCTCAGTCAGCTCTGAAGGCCTTGCTCTCGTAGGGCCATTACAGCAAGGACAGAGGCACCCGAACACTGGGAAGCAAAACAGGGTCACTGGGACTGCACTGCTGGCTTTTGCCCCTCCACGCTCCAGGGGCTCGGTTCCAGTCCCAGCCTAGCTCCGGTTCTCCTCCAGGCCTTTTTCAGTCTATCCACCAGCGTACCTGAAGCACGAACAAGACCCCTGCTTCCAGCACCCAGGGTAGCCCGAGACCTGCGGAAGGGCGGAGCCGGCGAGGGGGGTATGGCACGGACGGTGCCTGGAGAACTCAAAAGGGTTAGGGTCTGGCGGTGGTTCCAGACCCAGGGCTAGTGGGTGGAGCCTTCCGGGGTAGGGCTAAGCGTTGCTGCTAGGAGCTGGGTGCATTCCTGATTCTGGGAGGAGGCGTGGCCACCTTGCATTGGTTGTGAGCCTAGTGGGGCGTGGCCATCAAGGAGCCAGATGTCTGACTGGGCGCTGGGCTAGACTGGTCCGCGGCTTAGCGGGCGGCGTGGTTACGGCCTCACGGCGGCTCCTTTAAATGCCGGGCGCCACCCCGCCACCCCGCCTCCGGTCTGGGTCTAGCTAGCGGCCAGGCCTCAGCCGCGCGATCCGCAATGGAGCTGCACATCCTAGAGCACCGAGTGCGGGTGCTGAGTCTCGCCCGCCAGGGTCTCTGGCTCTACACCCACCCGCTCATCAAGCTGCTTTTCCTGCCCCGCCGCAGCCGGTGCGCGCCCGGGTTCCGGGCGCAGATGAGGGTGGGGGCTTTGCTGTTTCTTCGAGCCGGGGTCAGAAGATTAGGAACACTGCGAGGCGGGTGGAGTGAGTTGGGGAGGTTGCCTGTCATCCGGCCGGGGCATATCCTCTTGGGCACCAGCACCTATCCGGCCCAGGGAGGCTCCCTCCCAAGGACCAGTCTAGGCGCAAACAGCGTGCAGAGAGCTTAACTCCGAGCCGCGTTAAGTGGGGGCATTGCTACCTGGCTTCTGCGGCGAGCTCCTTCCAGATGTCTCCCATCAGGTCAGAGGGTCTGGTTGAGGGGGCCCGAGGTCTGACGATCCTGAGACTGCTTCCTCGGGTGTGAGCCTTTCCTCCCTCCTGGGGGAGGGGCGGGAGGCTCCTGGGGAGGTTTGGAAGTGGAAAATAGCCCTAGATCCCGGAGAGGGGGCAGGGGAGCAGCCCATTGCTCGAGTGAGGAAATAGAGGCCGGGACCTAGGGTCAGGAATGTGCGCACCCTCTTCCTCACCCCACCCCCGCCCGTTCTTCGTCCAAGCTAAAGACCCACCTTGTCTCCTACCAGGTGCAAGTTCTTCAGCCTGACCGAAACCCCTGAAGATTACACGCTCATGGTGGACGAGGAGGGCTTTAAAGGTGGGAGTCTGGTCTCTTGTGCTCCCCTCTTCACCGGATTGTGATCAGATGCTGGAATGCAGTGTCCCAAGAGCTTAGATCTAAAGATGTGGATCTGGGTTTAAATCCTGTTCCACCACTCACACTTGCTGTGTGGCCTTGAGCAAATCACTTCCCCTCTCTGAGCTTTTTCCTCTTAGGTAAAATGAATATAATTATGGTGGTGATCCAACAGGGTCCTGTGAGACATTTTTAAATTTAAAGCCCATGAAAAGCTGTATGAGGGAGGGACACTCGACAGTCTTTGGCCAGTAGGGATTTGAGTTACATTTTCAGGCGAGTCAGAGTTCTTGCCACTGTTCCATCCCCCCAGCCCTCCGGGGTTATTTCCCCTAGTAAGTAATCTCTCCAGTGCGGGTCAGCTCCTCCTCTGCCGGTTTGGGAACTCCAGGAGTATGAGGGTTAGAGAAGGAATGCAGCAGCAGGCAACCGTCCCAGGGCAAGGTCCTGGGGGCCTCCTGCCTGCGGTTGGGTGAACAGCACCCGCCCTGGCCCCTGCTGAGGACTGGACACCAGCCTGGTCCCGCCCTGGTCCCTCCCCTGGAGCTGACATCTGGCTCCCACTTCTGCCAGCCTCATAGACCTAGTCTCAGACTAGCCAACTGGAGCTTGGCTTGTTTCCCCATTGCTACACTCTGGCCTTAGTTTCCCCGTTTGTACTTAACCACCGCGAGGCTGCAAAAGGGGAAGCGCATCCGCAGAGGGAAACCTGAGCTGATGGCGCCCCCTGGTGGTGACAAAGTGATACAATGTGTTACCCCGCAGAACAGTGGTGAGGAATAATATCATTCCATTATACAGATAAGGAAATTGAGGCTCTGATGAGGAAACAGGCTCGAATTACTTTCCCCACATAGCAAGTAAACTTCAAATCCAGGGTTTGAGTCTGGAGCTCTGATCTTTGCTGCTTCATCCATAACCAACCAGCAATAAAGCACTTCTCAGTCTTTGCATATTTGTAGGCTTCAGAAGCAGAGCAGGGGGAGTATGTCCCAGTGTCCAGACCTGGCCTTACTTTGCTAGAGGCATGAAACAGGGAAATTCAGGATCAGAGAGGGTCAGGCCCTAACTAGGCATGTGCCCCCTGCCCACAGAACTGCCCCCATCCGAGTTCCTGCAAGTGGCGGATGCCACGTGGCTGGTGATGAACGTGTCCTCTCACAGTGGTGGGGCAGTGCAGGCTGCTGGGGTCACCAAGATCGCGCGCTCTGTCATCACACCACTGGCCGAGCACCACGTGTCCGTGCTGATGCTGTCCACTTACCAGACAGACTTCATCCTGGTGAGTTTCCCACATCACGGCAGGATGGAGGGTGGACATGGGTGCTAGAGGGAGCCACATAGTTTGCCATCTGCCTCTGGCCTAGGTGCGAGAACAGGACCTGTCGGTAGTGATCCACACTCTGGCCCAGGAGTTCAACATTTACCGCGAGGTGGGCGGGGAGCCTGTGCCTGTTGCTAGGGATGATTCCAGCAATGGCTTTCCCCGCACCCAGCATGGTGAGGTCCGCACCCAGCTACTCAAATTTGGGCGGCTCTTCCTCTTCCCACGGGGGCCCTTTCCTTGCATAGGCACGACTGTGAGCGCTGGGAGACCGGAAGACCCTGGCAGCCTCTCAGGATAGGAGGTGGGGCTGTTGGGAAGGCCCAGGCTGATTCAACAGGACTCTTGCCTGGCTCAAGTTTTTCCCCAGCTGGCCACCAGAGGTCGCCCCAGCCCATGAATGTCTTTCACTTGGTGCCTTTTACCATAGCAGGGCCCAGTCCCACGGTGCATCCCATTCAGAGCCCGCAGAACCGCTTCTGTGTCCTCACAGTCGATCCTGAGACTCTGCCAGCCATTGCCACCACGCTCATCGATGTCCTCTTTTACTCGCACAGGTGTGTATGCTTAGTCTGTATATTCACCACCATTCTCTACACTCTTGCCATGTCTCTCTGCCCCTTTGTGCCCTGCCAAGTGTCCCAGGGTTCCTGGCCCATGATGTCCATGTGCCCTTCACTGATGTCCAGGGATGGTCCCGATCCTGAAGCTGGGACCATTGCTGTGGTGTTGGCAAAGCCACCCCTGAGCCAGGCTCTGGCCAGGCTCTCTGCCCCTGGGGTCCTTCATCTTTGGCATGAGCAGGACTCAGTGTGCTCCTCCCCATTTTCACCAGTACTTCAGGTGGTCAGGGCCTTGGATCTAGCAACCTGCCCACTGCCCCCAGTGCCAGCCTCTTCCCTGGGGTCTGGAGGCCGGTGGTGAGGAGACGGAGTGGGCAGGGTGCCCTGTAGAGCTTCTGACCTCCTATGCTTTCCCAGTGCCCCCAAAGAGGCAGCCTCGGCCAGCCCTGAATCCAGCTCCATCCCATTCTTTGCCTTCTCCCTTATTGAGGGATACATCTCCATTGTTATGGACGCCGAGACACAGAAAAAGTACGTGACCCCCGACCCTGGGTGGGCTACAGACGCCAGGCCAGCCCCAGAAAGTGAAAAGGCAGGGTGCAGACTCAGGCCAGCAGGTAGACCTTCCCCAGGGGCTCCCAGTTGAATGGGGACAAATGGGGCTGCCCTGCCTACCCACCGTCTGTCTGTCCAGGTTCCCCAGCAACCTCCTGCTGACCAGTTCTTCCGGGGAGCTATGGAGGATGGTGCGCATCGGTGGACAGCCCCTGGGTTTTGGTGAGGGCCGCTCCCTGTGTTGGGGGGGGCGGTACAGAAGACCTTTAAGGTAACCACAGTGACCAGTGTGGTCATTTGTGTCCCTCCTCAACCTTTAGATGAATGTGGGATCGTTGCCCAGATTGCTGGGCCCCTGGCTGCTGCTGACATCTCTGCCTACTACATCAGCACTTTCAACTTTGATCATGCTCTGGTGAGTACTGTGGGCTTGGGTAAGAGCTCCTGGAGGGAAACTGAGGCCCAGAAGGGTTAGGGTTAGGGTTATGATGAGTGGGTAGGAGGTAGTACCAGCTGGGCCAGGAAGTTGGGTCAGTCCTGGCCAGATTCAGTCTTAACCTTCCCTTCTGCCTGCTTATCCCACCCCTAGGTGCCTGAGGATGGCATCAGCAGCGTCATTGCTGTCCTTCAGCGAAGGCAGGAAGGCTTGGGCTCCTAAGGCTTGGAGGGAGCTTGGCTGTCTGTCATCCCTGGATTTCCAGAGACTTCTTTAAGCTATTATTTCCTCAATCTCTGGTTCCTACCTGGGGACCCCTTGTACTGCTCTCTGTGTGTAAGCTGCACGCAGGCACTGTTCTCTAGTGGACATGTGTGTGCACCTCCAGTTGGAGTGGGCAGGTGCTGGCCCATGCATGTCCACCCATGCAGGGGAATACGGTGCTCGGGGCCCACGCCCCAACCCCATCATTCCCTGCGAGGCCTCAGCATTTGCACAGTCCCTGCTTGAGGCCTGAGCCATTCCCTCTTGCTCCCTGGGGCCTGCTGCCCCCCAGGAGGGCTCCAATCCTGTCTGGCTGGGGTGCCTACCTGGCCAGGTGATTCTGACAGTGCCTCCCCATCCTGGGGCTTCTTAGAAAAGTATTTTTACATCTCTCTCTTCTAATTGAGTATTAATAAAGGACTTTATATTGACCTAGCCGGATGTGGTCTTTGGACATCATCTGAATCTGAGTCTCAGCCATGGCTTTCTCTGTTTGAGGTCCCAGTCTCTCCCCGTGTAGCAGAGCCTGGCTCACTGCTTCTCACTCGCCTCTCACGGCAGTGTCCTGAGCCCCCAGTGAACCATCATCTCCATGTTCCAGATGAGGAAATGAAGCTGGGAGGTGTGCTGTGACTTGGCCAAGGAGAGGGCCACCCAGGACTGTCCGCTTAGGAAATCTGGCTCCTTTCTGCCTTCCGTGCGGCTTCCAGAGTAGCCCAGAAGCTTCTTTACATGAGCAGGCCCTTCCTGCCTGGAGCTTTCCTGTGTGGCTGGGTACTACAGAACATGAAGGAGGGCCTGAGGGCACCTTTCTTCCAGCTTGCTTTCTTTTGGGTCTGGCCTGCATTCTGTCTTGATGGCAGAGAGATGGGTCAGTTCTTGCCACCAGGGCTTTCCTAGAGCAGTGGCAGAGCCCTGGCCACCAGGCTTCTCTATTCTGAGACTGGGACCAGTAGGACAGAATGGGGGCCTGGAGACCACATGGAGCCCACTCTGTCTTTGAGGGCTTTGCTCCTGGGCACGTCTGGGTCAGGGTCTTCCTCCACTAAGGGCTGCTTCCCTGTGGGGCCAGGATTCCCCTGAGCCCAGGAGGGCCCCACAGCAGATGCACTGGGGTGGGGGTGGGGTTATCAGGTGCCCTCAGTCCAGAACCACCCTGCTTGGGAACAAAGAAGGGTGTGACTTCTGTGTACTCAGAGGTTGTGGTGGCTCCCCAGAAAAGCCAGGACAGAAACCAGGCCCCTGGCAGTGTGCCTGCTCTGCTCCTTTAGGATCCCGGAGCCGGGGCTCCGGCTGCAGATCAGATGAGCCAAGAGCATGGCTTCAGCCTGGTGAGTGAGCGGGGGGAGACCTGGCCGGCCCTTCCCTTCAGCCCCATTTGCCCCATGTGCGTGGAGACCCAGGAAGTAGCTCCTTTGGCCACCCTGGGAGGGGGCTTTTCCCTGGCGTTTGTCTGTGATGAGAGTAGCATGGCCGAAGTCCTGGTCCCTCTCAATGGAGTGTAAGTGTGTGGCTGGCTTGGGAAGCGTCCTGGACTGGAGGTAGAGACTGCCTAACCTGCAGCTAGAGCACTCGGCCCCAAGTCCCACTTAGAGCAACTGATCACCTGTGTCAGTCACTGTCTGGCTTGGGTATTTCTGTCACTGTGACTACTGAAGGACCTCAGGCTTCATCCAGTCCCTTAAACCGGGTCCCAGCTTGTGCTTGCCTAGTTCTTGGGGCTGCTCATGGGCCTGACCTGAGTGCGGACTACAGGCCCCGCCAAGAGGCTAGTCTGATGCACACCTGGGCCGAGATGTCAGTGTACTCACTTGAGTGTGTCTATGTGGAGGGCTTTTAGCACTCGGGATTAATGTCTTTGGGGGTCTCAAGGCCAGGCCACAGGGCCAGACCTCACCATCCAGCACATCATAAGTACAGGGGTCCACTCAGGGTGCGCTGAGATGGAAACCCATGAGGGTCAGAGACACAGGATTTGGGAGGTCCCCCAGGAACATGGCTCAGAAGGGAAGCGCCTTTTAGGCATGTGACCCTAAGCTCACTGATGGGCCTTGAGCTCCTACAGGCTGTGGTGGGGACTCAAAATCCTATCCTCTTCTCACTCAGTCCTCTAGGGTGTCCTGGGGCAAAGGAAACCAGGGGTCAGCCTGGGCTGGGCTGGCTCAGTGTGGGTCATTCACTTCTAGGACTGGGGCGCACTGCTGGGACCCAGCCCTCGCTTCCCAGCCCTACCAGTCCCTTACTGCCTGAGCATCGGCATTGCAGAGAACCTGGGTGCTTGTCCGTGTGTGATGGCAGCTGCTGCCCAAGTGAGCCCCACCACCATCCCCAGAGTAGCAGGAAGTTGCTCTACAGCCAGTCCCGGCTCCAGCTTCTGCTGGGAGGAGGTGGCCTGGGCGGGTGGGTGTGGGTGGGAGAGAGGAACCTCAGCCGGCAAGAGGCGGCAGCCCATTTCCACTCTTTGGATCTTTTTGCCCTATGGAACAAGTGACTTCTTCCATCTTCCTCAAGACAGGGTGCAGAAATTCAGTTTCAACCCTTCATTTCCTTCCTTGCTTGCTGGGAGGGCTGAGTATTGCAGTAGCCAACGGCCCCATAGGGTGTCTTGGTCCATCATGGAGGAGAGAAAAAATTGCATGTTCTTCCAGACCCCAGGGTTCTGCTGGGGAACCCTGCCTGAGCCCAGGAAGGAGGGACAGGAGAGAGGAGCCCATCCACAGGTGGCTGTGAGTACAAGGAAGCTGTTACCCCGATCCCCTCAGCGCCCTCCTCGGTGCAGGGGCACAGTGTGCCCTGTGGATTCACACATTTGGTGTGTGAATAGAAATAATGGTAAATGTTAAAAAATTGTAATTTTATTACGGTAAAAGACATTGCCACTAATCCCTCTCAGACTCCTCCCCCTCACGTCAAATACACTTATCCCATCTGCGTGGCCTCAGCCTTCCAAGTGCTAGGATTATAAACACCAGCCACCATGTCCCCTTGTCCCATCATGTTTGCACCTTCTGAAGCAGTTCCAGAAATCCTCCTTTGTGTCTTTAGTTGCACTGCTATGGCTGCTGTGATGTTCTGAATCAGTGTTGGCTTTGGGGAAGAGCCAGAAGTCGCAGGGTGTCAGATCTGATGAATAAGGTGGGTGAGGACCCACTCGAGTGTGTTTGTTGATTTATTTTTGGTGCTGGGAATCAAACTCATGACCTTGTGCTTGCCAGGCAGGTGTTTATGCCACTGAGCCCTATAATGTGTTGATAAGCCTCTTTTTCTGTTGGATGACATTCGGCAGCAGTATTCACCATGTTTTTTTTAATCATACTGCATAAAGACATGAAAGAGGACTTCTAGAACTGCTTCAGAAAAGGGCAAGAGTAAGTGTGTTCGAAGTCTGGAAGTATTTTGAGGGGATTAATGGCAAAATGTCTTTTACTATAGTGAATTTTTAAGAATCTAAACATTTGTGTATATATATTCAATGCAGACTTTTGTTATTCTCATTTTATACTGCTAAGAATGAAAGGCAGACAGGTTAAGTGATTTGCCCAAGGCCACACAGCCAGGCACAGTAAAACCCAGTGGTCTGAAAGAAGGTTAAACATGTCTGCAGAAGCCGGGGAATTTCCCAGGGGTGGGGGTGGGGGGACACTTCAGCTGAACTCTGAGGGATGGGGAAGGTTTTGCAAGATCCCTTGCAATCCCAGCTGTCTGTCGGTGGCCAGTGGCCGAGTGTCTGCCACCAGTGGCAACGGATGCGTGGGCAGGCACGCGAGGCCTTGCCCTGGCTCCTCTCTGACCTTGGGCTAGGCAGGCTGTGTGTGTTGGGCAATTGCTGTGGTTTGTGTCTCACTTTCCCCGGCAGGGCCCCCAGGTTAGGGCTCCGGCTGGTGCTGACTCTTAAGGAGGTGCCTGGAGACTCCTCCTGTGGGTTAGTTGTGGTGTCCTGCAGCTGTGTGTGTGTGTGTGTGTGTGTTGCATGGGTGCCAGGGAGCAGAGCTTCGCTTGCAGTGAATGTCACCATAGATGAGCCTGCGTAAGCCAGCACTGTGGTGCACACCCTGGAGTCTCACCTGTTAGTCGCAGGCACAGGGCCTGAGGTAGGAAGATCACTTAAGGCCAGGAGTTCAAAGCCAATCTGGGCAACAGAGCAAGACCATGTCTCTTTATAAAAGCGCTAAAAAGTTAAAGATGAGCCTGTTTTAACAGCGATGTGTGTATGTGTCCCCATGTGGCTGTTACTTGAGCTTCTGTGGTGGACATCTGGATATCTATGGCTGTATGTGCATCTGCATTGTATGAACATCAGCTGTGACCCTGGCTCTGTCCCTGCAGGTATGTCTGTATGTGCATCTGTACATGTGCATCTCTGTGTGTGTGCATGCACACGCACACATTAGCATGAGGACCTGTGTTTGTTTGTATGTGGCTGGGGCGTTTTTATTTTGGTTTGTTTTTGTGGCACTAGAGATGGAACCCAGAGCTTCACGCATGCTTGGAAAGTGCTCTACCTCTGAGCTATACCCCTGGTCCTATTTTGAGGCAGGATCTAAATTGCCCAGGCTGGCCTTGAACTTGCAATCCTCTAGCCTCAGGCTTCTAAGTACCTGGGATTAAAAGTGCTGTACTACACCTGGCTGGGGCTGGGTTTATTTTACTAATGAAAGTGAAGGTGTGTACATGTATGGGTATCTTTCAAGTTTGCATGTTCCCATGTTCCTCCTGTCCAGTTCTCTACTGTGGACTCTCATCTGCTCTGCCCTCCCTGCTTCTCCCTAATGGAAGAGGGACATTGCTGTGCCAGCTGTCTCCCTGGTCCCCTGTGCTCTCCATGACAGTGGATACGGGGTTGGTGCCCTTATCCCCCACCCCCGGCTTCACACACCAGCCTCAGCCTGACCTCTGCCCAAGTCTCTGCTCCTCCCCTGTCTGTAGTCCCAAGCAGGCCTGCCTCTGTCCCCTGCCCACTGTGCAGTCCACCCCTTGCCTTCCAGTCCCATGCTTCTGCCAGTCTGTACCCCCGCTTTTCCAGTTCAGCCTGTGGTTGTCCTCACCTGTGTTGCTGCCCTCAGCTCCCTGTTGCTCTGCCTGGCCTCAGTTCCCTTTTCATTTGGTTGGGCAAATTTTCCCCAGTACAACCCCTCCCTCCCTGATGACGGACCCGTGCTCCTGATGTCAGTCTCAGAGACCACCCAGCTCGCACCAGCATCCGGGTCCTGCCACCCCGGTGCCTCACCCTGCGCTTGCCTTTCTTCCACAGCAGAGGGCGCCCCCTGCAGGTTGCCCTCATGCCTTATCCAGAACTGGCGCTACCTGGCCTTTGAAATTAAATTGGCCTTATATTAGTCTGCAAATAAGAGTCTGTGGACCAGCCGACATTGGGCGACTCGACAGGAAGGGGCTGGGGTGCTCCCTGACTTGCTCTTGTGCTCTGCAACCT